ATCGAGCAAATCTTTTTCTTGCATATGTTGCTCAAAGACTCGCCGGGACCGCCTTCTGACTGTGCGCCTCCTACTCTCCGGTATAATTTTTGTAGAAGACTATAAACCGCCACTGTGTCCCTCCCCTGCGCACAACTGTTCAATTCCATGTTACAGAACGTGTGATTTCTCCTAATTGGTGGGTTTGATGTGTGGGTTCGACGATTCTAAAATTTTCACCCTAATCACGATACTCCACTACTTTCAAACGCTACAATTTACAATTGAAAGAATCGGTAGTCCAAGAGAATAGCGCCTACTGGTAGTAGATAGTGCTTTGCACTAAAAGTTTAGTTGAGGACAGAAATAAGTCTCATTTCAGAACATGAAGCATGAGAAAAACAACCAAATAGTCCAAATGCGAAATCTATGGAGTTCGGAATTACCGGGCTCAGTTCCCCATTTTCCAACCTCCACGTTCTTGCGATATGACTACCCAGCTCACGTGACCACAGTTCGTTACCACAGTTGTCGTAAGCAGTCACAACTCCATCAGGAGGTTGAACGAGATAGCGAATTCTAGCAAAAAATTATATTAAAATCGATTAAAAGAAACAGATAAGTCAGATACCTATGTCCTCTTGCGTATGCCTGAGGTTTACTACTTCTAATTAAGTCCGCATCATATTCAGAGACGGATAGATTCCATCTGAAAAACAGTATGTCGTACATAGGGAATAGGATTAAGGATGATACAGCTAAAATTCTAAAAAGTTAGGGAAAAAAAGTATAGACATCTGCACTACCCATCAAAAAAGAACAGTTTGAAAATAATCTCCATCAAATTAGGCAAATATATCGGCAATTGAGCAAAACGAATAAATAATGCAAAAAGCTATGAACACTTCGCATAACGTACTTAACTAGAAATTCTGCTAAAATTCAACTGCGAATAGATTTATCTCAGATGCAAGAGGAGAAACAGAAAAAAAAACTTGGAATGCACCTTTCAATCCCAGTTAACGCATCAACAGCTCTAACTTTGCTAGTGCTTCGACGAAAAACAAGCGTTGTTGAAACCGGTTTGGTAGCTGCAGAATTGCATTGCGAAGATGAACAGTGGTAACGCACCTCAATACAGCAAATTCTTAAGCATGGAAAAAAGAAAAGGAAAGTAATCACCTCGCCAGTAAGTGGATCCACTCCGGTTGTAGTCACTGTTCGACCTCCAGCCACAGCGTCGTGACCAACGCGCACCGAAGCCTTTGAGATTTATTATAAGAAAAAATATTAACAAAACAAAATTGAAAAAAAAAACTCTGACGTTATGAGACCAGAACAGATAGAACAGTTCTTACCCGGTAAGCAAAAAAGTGAAAATGATCAGGTTGGCCTACTTCAGTGAATGAGAACGAGACCTGATTGTCAGCTACGTAGGTAGCTAAGTCAAATTAGACGTTTTCAAGGTTATTAAATGATTTTGCAAGAAGCTGCAACGGTGGATTCAAGATAGCAAACTAGGAAAGGACGATCTATGGCCAAAGCAAAAGAACTAAAAAAGTAAAAATACTGTAAGATGTACTAAGCGGAGCGTCTTAGGAAAGTAGTGAGGCAAATTATGTGTTAGCGTTGTAAAAAAAGCAGTACCCGAAATTTACCTGAAGAAGTATGTCAGTGCTGAGAGGGATAGGTTCTAACAGATGTTCGTCACGAGAATACATGTACAGGGTGCCATCTAATGCAGGGATGAGGTTGAACACACGTCCATCAACATGCATAGGCTAAAAACAATCATTTGAAATTAGCAAAGGACATTTCTTTTCATTGCAGCAATAAACCGCAATGTAGATTGTTCCTAACTCGTTTATTCAACCCAAAACTGTTGACTAGGGGTTTCATGGTTGCACTGCAATCCGCACCAGTTCCAGAATTCGGCCTTGCTCCTGCTTCGCCTCATGATATTTTTCATCAAAGATGCTTCTATGAGTTTACTCTAGGCTAAAGGAAGCTAAAACAACCATGCAAATGAATGCCAAGATCAATGCGGAAACCCTATCGAAAACAGCGAATGCGGACCATACAAACTACACGCAATAGATAATCTTAAGAATTCTCTAGTAGGATATAAGCCGATCGCGGAACAGCGCGGAATCTCTAAAAGGTTCGCAGAGAAAAGTCTGAATTAAAGAAGGAGCAAGATGCATTGCATTCTTTCTCAGATGGCCATTTCGGCTAGTCGACTTCCCCTTGTGGAGTTCCTATGAGGTACCTTGGTATAACGCGGGAATCCTCATTTACGAATTTGCGCTTGGTGGGTCATTTCATTCTCGAAATCTTCTAAAAAATTCACTAAATGGTCAAGATGAGCGTACAGAACATAATTTCTAATAATCAAACCACGGATCCTTTCTGATGAATTATAATTTGCAAAAGTGTACTTTCAAAAGAATGAACTTTCTAAGCAAGAGCGAGGTAAAGTGAGTTAAATTTCAAAAAGCGAGTTACAAGAATATGTACAAAGAGGGTATACAATGATATCAGCGTAAAAAGTTATAACATTCTGCAGCTTTGCTGAGGGTAAAATTTCATGTGGTCACGCAAACAATTCCGGTAGACATACCTTAACCAACCAAAACTTTGTGGACGCTTATAAAAGATTTACGCTTCCTACCTAAAAAGTCACATATCAAACTAATCACTTACCTGAACTTTACCCAAAGTGCCACACATTAGAGCTTCTGCATCAAAATCAGCTACCCAAACTATGGCACCATTATTGGTGGCATCTAGAGCATGAAGCCTACCATCCATGGTAGATACCTAGATAATTGCTCGTAGAGCTCAAGCAAACCTTCCAACAAATAATGCTTGTAGAATGTTACAAAACCTTGCAGTTGGCATAGCAAAACGAATCCAAATATTCCTCTGAAAAACTCACAAACAAGTAATTAGCTTCTTCAAGTTCTGGATCTCTACAACACTGGCTAGAATCATATATGGAGTTTTCGGAGATGACAGGAACCTAAAGGGCATTATAAGCACAACTGAAATAAGCAGGTATGAATTTGCACTTTTTGTGAATTATTAGAGAAACATCGGAATCTGAGAATTTCATATTCGACTGATGTGACAAGATCTCCTTCCGAATAGTGATCAAATCCTAACATTAGAGTGCATTTTTTCATTTTTTTTTTAAATAGTGTAAGAGTGATAAGGCAAGATCAGGTAAAGTAAGAGACCAATAAAGTTACTGCCTTCTCTGCTGG